CACAAAGAGTACAATGTTGTGGGTTTCCCGCAAGTGCTTGGTTTTCTGTCGGGAGCTCGACATCGAACCTCTTCAATCAAAGGTACACGGGCTCGCCGAGACTGATGGTCTCGACATGTTGATTTTCAAGTACTCCTTCGATGTACGGCTTGACTCGGTGTCCATTCACATCAAATATTTCACTATTCACTGGGTTACGAAACCAGACGACTCCAAGTGACAATATCTTGTCAATAATATATGGCCCTCTCCATCGAGACTTGAGCTTTCTTGGGAAAAGACAGAGCCGGGAGTTGATAAAGAGGACCTTCATGACCGACACAAGGTTCTTTAGGATAATAGTAGCGTCATGTAACTTCTTGACCTTGTCCTTGTAGATTTTTGAATTCTTATAGGTCTCGTTCCTCCACTTTTCAAGTTTTGAGAATTGCAACATCTGCTATTTCCCGGTAAAATCCAAGTCATAGTTCACCTTATTAATCGCCCAAAACACCTTATGTTGGATTTCCACCTGAAGATGACCAGCCTTCACATAAATAAGTCGGAACGGACTCATCCCCAAAACTCCTTTATATGTTGTATGTTGGGCCCGTAGAGCATCATTGAGGCGACTCGACCAATCTTTCATTTGCAAGTTCACCGTTTTCTCTAAGATGGTCTTAATTTTCCTGTTGCTCGTTTCTGTTTGGCCTGATGTTTGCAGATGATAGGGGTAGGCACTTTATGTGGATTCAATAAACCTTCATAGAATATGCCCTTGAACGAACTTAATAACCACATTAGCATCGCATTCCTCGTAGAGATTGCCTCTGAACTGATTCAGATAAGGTCATCAATTAAAAATGAAAAAATATCCATAAACTCCCTTAATAACGAGATGATGACGAACTGGATGCCTTCTGCAAGGTGACGAAGTACTATAGTCACCTTTTCAAGCTTCCCCTCTTCGAGCTCGATTTCCATGAGCTCATCCTTGTGAGATCTCCAACTTCTATTGCCTTTTTCTTGTGTCTAAACTTTCATGTCGGTCCTGATCCCAACCCCTCTTCTTACCTTGAGCTTCTGAGTCTTTAAACATGACCTGATAGCACGATCTGGCTTGTCGCTAATCCCACACTACCTCACCAACTCCATCTCCCACAAGGAACTTCTCTTCAAGCAGTAGGTCGATACTACAACTTGGAATGACTTGAGGCTATGGCGCCCAAGTAACAAATTATATGCCAAGCTGATGTCCACAACCACGAATCAGACCATCTTTACCTTCCTGAGCGGTGATCTCCCTAGAGTTACGGGTAGGCACACTTTCCCTATCGGGATGACCTTCTAACCAATGAAACCGTATTGAACCGTGTGCACTAATTCAATCTTCACGTGAAGCTCCATTTTCCTCATACATTGCAGAAAAATGATGTCAACCAAACAACCTATATCAATGAACACCCATTGTATGTCGTAACTTGCAACCTTGGCAGTGATGACCAAGGCATCATTATGCGGGGGAGAAATGCCTACAGGTCTTTCGCGTCAAATTTAAGTGTTACCTCAGACTTCTGAATCTTTACCTCCGCCACTTCACTGGCGACCTCCTTCCTTGATATTTTCTTTTCCTTTCATTATTGGGTCCCTATCAGTGGGACTTCCTGCAATCATCTTGATTACCCATTTTTTGATCGCCTTATCTTCATTCTCTTAAAGACATCTCTATTTCTAGCTGACCTTTCGGTCATTCTTTCGATCTTTGTCTTTAAAAACGAATTTTTTAAGATGCCCGACTCGAATGAGCCGTTAAATATCGTCCTTCAGTTCCCTACAAACATTGGTCGAATGATGATAAGAATTTTTGAAGTTTTAAAGGAAGAGAAATAATTTTAGATTATTTTTCAAAATAGATATAAATTTTTATAAATTTCAAAAACATATATTCATTTTAAAAATCATTTATTGGGCATTACTCAAACATCATTTTTGACTTATCTCCAACCATATTTTCATTTTCCAAAACACATTACAACGACTTAATAATCAATACTCAAAATGACAAAACATAACAGTTTTTCCACAAGTCCAAAAGACTAAAAACTAATCAATACACGAGTTTCGAAAACGACAAGCGGAAGCAAATATATTTTAAAACAAGATAAACCACCCTCGTCTCGTCGTCACCACGACCATCAACTCCACCTGAAAAGATAGTAATAATTGAGGTGAGCAAAGCAACTAGCTCACCGTGGGAATACCGTGCACATCTGTCCAGTATAATAACAAAAAACATACTCGCAACATGTATAAGAATCACGACAAATATCACATCTCAAATGCGCAAGTGTACACCTATATAACCGCTGAAGGTCGAATCTGCATCCAACAACGGGAGCACATGTCAATGGTCGAATCCGCATCCAAAGACATGACCTGCCAATAGGCTAAAGAAGACTGCCTCTCAATAGGCACCGTCGACGGTCGAATCCGCATCCGCCGACGGGGATACCATATTGAAGGTCGAATCCACATCCCACGATAGAGTCATGGTTCAAGTACATACATTGATTATGGAACCTAGCAATTATAAAGAATAATGGCACAGTAAGTTTATCAACACCCACCTGTTCGGATAAGACGGAAAGAATGCTATGACCGAGCGGTAGATTTGAGGTTTGACTCCTCCAGTACAGCGTTGCTCCCTTGACTGAGCTCGCCTAAGACTCAAAGCTCCTCTTCTGATGACTCAAAATCAATCTATGATGATATCCAGTTTTCCTCTCACTTTTTACCAAGACGGGCTACCACCTCGTAGAAGTTATCCTGTGGTGTCCCGTAAGGTCGTGGAACTCCTTCGTTCTTTTTTTGAAGGTTGTCGCATATCTCCTCCATTATTCTCCCCCAAGTCATCACAAGCACCTCTTTGAGGTTCTCGATCCCCTTCTTATGCGTGATGGAGCGGCATCCCAATCTTTGTAGTTCTTACCATCGCTCGAACACATCTTGGATTTCTTTCCCCACTTCAAACGATCGTTCCGACTATAACTCCTCGAATTCGTTTATCATTTGACGCACATAATTGTCTGGATCTAGGCTCGGCTTTCTTTGCATCTCGGTGAAGTTGATGCGGTCCACCAAAGAAAACCCTAATGAGTGAGGGTTAGGCTCTTCGGATAAGACTCGGAAAAAGAATCGATCGGGTTGGCCTCGGGCGGCTATGCTCGGCCTCGGCGAGGACTTCAGACGGTCACTCGCGGATGAAGGCTCCTTGGACGGCGGCTGAGACGCGACTCCGACGGTAATGGCGATGAGACGCAGTTGCAGTCGAGGTGGGTCGCACGTGGTTGTGGTCCGACGGTGGCAGATATGTCCAGGCAGGGTGCGTGGACGGCAAGATCGACGGCCAGCTGAGCGAACCCGCACGAGGCGTATGGGAGTGCTGCTTGCCGAGGTACAGGTACCGTCGACGACGGTTCGAACGGTCTATCTGTCGACGGTGGCGTGAGCGAACGGAGACGACGAGCGGCTGGTAATCGCAGGCTGCTTCTCGAGGGATCAAGGCGTGGTACGACAACAGTTTGCTGTGAGTGTGTTGCCTGCGGCAGCGCTGCTTATACGGAAGGCATGATCGAGCGATAAACGTCGTCGAAGGGTGGCGGAGGCTCGTGGAATGTCGCTCGGCGACGGCATGAGTGGACGGGGGTGAAAGGTGGGGCGATATCGAGGAGGGCCGCGCGCGATCTGTTCGGCCGATGAGGTGTCGTGGCAGGTTGGCTGGCGAGAGAGGATGGTGGTTATTTCAACGATCTCCTAATGGGAAGAAACTCACGCAAAAAGGCTGATGGAGAAGGATGATGAGACCATATGATGTGGTGAGAATAAAAATAAGGGGCAATCTTTTACTTTCCTTCGGTTATACAAGAGGGAATAAATGGGATAAATGAGGGGTTTAATGAGGATTAAATATAACATAACTTAGAGACTTAAATGGCATGATTGAGGGGTGTAAATTTGTGTAAAAAAATTGAGGATTATGATGATTTAATGTCGAAATTAATGATGAGCATCATGGAGGATTAAGGGTGATATAATACCAAAAATAGTACACATAATTGGCTCAATACATGGGATAAACAGATGGAATAATGGCTCCTTAGAGCTGGTGAAGGGCATTCCAAAGTTAGCACAATATTTCAAAATCCAAAGTAAAATGAGCCGTTTTAGAGCATGAATATTGGTCGAACAAAATGGCTCAAAGGCCGAACCAATTAGCTAAAACTAGGTTCGAGTAAAAGTTCGATAAAAGATAAAAAACGATTCAAAAAAATTCTACGCGATTGAACAACGAATATCTGAACGATTCGAAGAGTGAAACTAACTCGAGCAACAACGGGCGGACGATCGACGATTGACGAGAAATAATAGACTTAAACGGTTAAGCCGAACAATTAGTCGAAATAAACTCAATCGAATGCTAAAGAATCAGAAATGATTTAAGTAGACGATCATGTCAGCAAATTCGATCGACACAAGAGATCATCTAGACGAGGATATCTAAAAATAATCTACCAAAGCTAAAATGAGGATTTTTGCCGAGCAAAAAACCTAAAATATAAACGAGGCGAAAACTAAAATACGCCAACTCGCCTAAAACGAAAGGGGGCGCTACAATATCTACAATACAACTCCCTCTCAAAGGCACATAACCCTTATTCTTGATAAGGGGTTTAGGTTGGAAGAGCATTCCCGCATCACCTCTCTTATCGAGGACCTCAAAATCTTCCTTTTTGAGGTATGTTCAAGGGCATGTAACTTGTTGTTCCACGACTAAAGAAAATCCTCTGACCTAAATTTCTTGCTCCGAGATTTCTTGTCATTTGAGCAGGGTCTCTTGTCCACCTGTTTAGCTTTGGCCTTGTCAATTTGCAAGAAGTCGGCCTCAGCCGCTTCCATGTTGACGTACTTGCTACATCTTTCTAAGAGCTCATCGAAAGATCTTGCCGGCCTCTTCACCAACGAGTCCCTACACTTACCCGGTCGGAGACCTCGAGTAAGGCCTATTGCCTTGATCTCCTCAGAAGTTGAGTGGACCTCCATATACTCCTTCATGTATCAAGCACATTTTCATGGAGGGTCTCACCCTCTCTTTGATGCATATTGATCAGTGCTAAGTACGTCTTGTCATGTTTCTTTGCACTTGCAAACTGGTTCATAAAACAAGGAACCAAACCTCTCAAAGTTGTGTATTGACCCGACCGGCATCTAGTGAAATCACTCATATGCTGACCCCTTTAATTTAGTGAGGAAGGCTCTACAACTGACGGTGTCACTATACCTTCGGAGAACTTCTATATTCTCAAATGACATTTGCTGCCTAGTAGGGTCTGTCGAGCCATCGTAGGCCAAACTCAACTCACAAAAATTGTTTGGCAGACCCGCTTCAAGGACATCCTAGACAAACGGGTGACCACGACCCTAAGGTTCCGACCTTCCCTGAGATCGAGCCTGCAATTCTCTCAACTTCGCAGATAAGCACTCAAGTGCAACATCTCGAGTGGGCTTTGGCATGGTCCTATGCAATTTGACCGATCTTGTCTCTCCTTTTTCTGGTCTCTCATGGGGTTGCTTTTACAGCTGAGGCTGAGGTTGTTGTGGCTGAGACCGCAACTTTTGTGGTGCAACCATAACCTGTGGGTTAGATGATAGAGCTCGACTCAAAGACTCAACCATGATTCAATCCAAATATTTCCTGGTAAGTTTGATAACCTGGTCTTCTCTGGGAGCCTCCAGCTCAACAGAGCTCACAAGCGGACCTCCTGGTTTCCCCTGAGTCTAATCGGCCCGCAAGCCTTCTTGCTGGTGCTCCTCCTGTGTCACCAGTTGGCCTAGAATTTCTTGACATTTCTCATGCTGGTTATTTGTTCCATTGTAGGTCTCCCAGACGTACCTGAAAATGGTGTTAATGTCATATGGAGCATCGACAACGTCTTTCATAGTGTGAACAGAGTGGCGACAGACTGCGACCTGCCCAGAGAAGGGTTAGTCCCAAATGCCCTCCTTGTCCATGCCTCATCTAATTCTTTTGTCAGATTCTTCTTGGAGTTGTTACCTGCCATAGTCTTCGATCCTTGATTTCTTTTCATTATTTTTGGTGAGAAAAATTATCAACATCTCATAATTGGTAAAAAGCTGCAATTTTCTCAAAGACGGTGCCAATTTGATATGAAAATTGTCCCAAAATGTTTGAATTGCGATCCAATATCACTAATTGGCTTGCTGCTTTGGTGAATTGCAGTTAGCCGAGAGGAGTCTCAATGAAAATGTCTCCTACGCTCAAGTCAGTCTCTGTCCGTGAGTAAGAATAATAGTATGGAAATTTGTGCGCGCGTGTGTGTTGTGTAAAAATAAAGAACTTGGATACTCTTTTATACCTAAGGTAACTTGGTTGCTAAGAGACCCTTAGTTAAGAAAAAGATCCTTTCGTATCCAATTTTCTTACTAGCAAGATCTTCTGAATCTTGAAGAGTCCTTGACAATATATATATTTCTTATCCATGAAGAATTCTTTCCTCTCCTGTTGTAAAGCTCCTAGATTCTGAGGTCATCCTTCCATCCTTCTCACTTATCTGCCACCATTCTGATTAAGGTCATAACTACGACTTCAATCCCACCGACCTACTGGTCATGAGGTCTCTTCGTCAACTCATCTCCATAGGTCTCCTGGCTACCTGGATTCCTCCTGCATCTGAGCTCCCCTGATCCCACTTTCGAGCTACCTAGATCCGGTATCCGAGCTTTCTTGGTTTACCAACCTCTGAGCTACGTGAGGTGCGGAATATAGATGCTGAATCGGATGGAGTTTTTTTCGAATCATTGACGATCGAGCTAACCCTTTACATGGGTCATCCCAGCTATTGTGGACTATGTAACTTTAAAATATTTATCTTTTGTAGTTTCTTCTCTTTCCTTTGCTTTCAATGCGTTACCGTTAGATGGAATATTGAATTTGTCCTATGGAATCATTTCTATTCCAAGACAGTGGCTATGATTTGATTTTGTACTTATTACAGCATAATAGTTAACTGAGGTGACATTTATTAGCCACATTTCGATCAATGCCTGGTTTATTTATTGCACCTATCTAATCACTGATCATCAATAGTAGTGTTTCAAAGTTTATTCCAATTGCTAAGCAATGTTAACTCTAAATTATCTGAAATTAAAATTGAAAAATTTACATAAATCACATGGGAATCAATTTTTTTTTCCCGAAAATGGGAATCAATTTTTTATTTTTTTTAAATCACGTGGGAATCAAATTAACTCTAACATTCGGTAATAATGTTAGAGTTGCTCTCTCTGTCCATAATATTAATCATTAAAATAATGACCATTGAAATTATCAAAATTCATTAAAAATCCCAACAAAATGATTTCAGGAGGATTTTATTGGAGTTTTCCAACAAACTTCATCACTATAAAATATATATTAAAATTACATTGAAATTTGTTGCAATGTATTGTGGTCGTTAAACTGAATTCATCGTTTTCTTGCAACAATTTTGCTATAGTTTGTGTAGTGGGAGACTTTGTCCTAAGATTCCCGAACGTTTAATCTAACAATTTTTGTTCAAACGCCAACTATTTTCTTATTCATCTGGAATTATTCCATCTGGATTAGGTAACTTTTCAGAGTATAAAACTCCTTAAATTCTTTCTTCAATAATAAATTCTCAAAGCCCCTTATGAATTTCTCATCCTTGTATATATGATGCATATATGCATATCTAGTGCCTATGCAGAGCATGTATCGAATCTTACACACTTATATACCTATACAAATATGTATCGATCAAACGGTAAACAATTGGGTGTGTATACTGAGAACACCTGGTGATACCCGAATCTGGAAATTAAGCATCCAACATTTTGGTGGTCTTTAATTATAAACTAGTGGTATGTTATTAGACCAGCCTAATTAAAATTAATATTCACATTTTATAATTTTCATATTTAAATAATACTTTAAAATATAGAATTTAAGAAAAATGTAACCTTTTTATAATTGACTTATACATTTATTTAAAAAGTATGATTAATTGATACGACTAACCGTGACATCGTCTCACGTCAATATTTGCCATATTGTGGTTATGCACAGGCCCGGCTCCTTGGGGAGGCAGTCTAGGCCCATGCCTAGGGCTTCCCTTTATATTTGGGGCCTTATTTTTTTTTTTCCAATACTATGTATTTGTGATGAGTTTGGCCCATTATACAAATGAATGAGCTAATTAATGAATAGGTTAATGACAAAATGTATACTTTGTGTGAAAATTTGAGGCCCTAAATATTTCATTTGTTTTCTTATGATGTTCGGTTAGAACAATTGTGTGAGAATAAACATTCTTTACAGTGATATGATTTTTATTTTTTTCTCCTTGTTGTTCTAATGACTGATTGAATGTAAATTATTAAAGATCTTTGTAATTCATAGGTAATTTATCAATTCCAAAGTCTAGAAAAACAAGAATTTTTTTTTTCAATTATTTATTTATTTATTTAATAGTCTTTTTTTATTAGGTTTTTTTCTTCTTTGATACTATCTGCAAATAGCCTAATTACCACGCAAGTTCAAATCAGAAATTCGAAAAGAAAAAACTTGTCTAGGGCCTCCAAATTTTTGGAGACGGCCCTGGTTATACATAGATGCAATACTGGAGAATATATTTTTAGCGTTAACCCGAACCCCATCACTTTAAGGTCAAATTTTAATTCATATAGAGAACATCTTTTCACCATTTTTGTTTCCTGTTTGAGGGTATCTCTAAGACATTTTAGCACCATACTTGATTTTTGTAATGACAGTGGATCTGTGGTGGATTTTTGATCGTGCTTCAGAGTTCAGATTGAAGACAAAACTACTTTACTTGATTCTTAAAAAATTGAAGGATACCTGAATGATATTTTACTATGTTCTTTGTATTTAGTGAAGTGTGCTCGACCGTACGGGACAAAAGTAGTAGTTATTTTGCTCTGTTTCTGTCTCATCTAAGCAATGTCATCAACAGTTTGAGATTCTTATTCTACCTGGTGTTTATCTTGTATATCATATAATTAAGTTCACTTGAACTTTACATGATTTGTTAAAATGAGTACTAGATGAATCCATAAATGGAATTGGATTCTAAATTGTTTCCCGTATGGAAAATGCAAAAAATATAATTTATTGTTCATGTTTGTTGATTATTGGTAGGAAAAATTTAGAAGTAGCTATGGGTGTGTGAATAATAATATTAGTATTCACTTAATCAATCGATCATTTTTTCCCCTACTGAAGATCTTCAAGGTTCCTAAGATTGTCGCTTTGGTATCCTTGGGCTTTATCTTGTATATCATATAATTAAGTTCACTTGAACTTTACATGATTTGTTAAAATTGTAGAATCAGTAAAAATAGACAAATCGCATTCTAACCAACAAATTTCCAGAAGTAAATCACCATAAAAATGTTCAGAGCTTCAAGCTCGTACAGAAAATCTGAAGACGACAACACGAGAACCACACATATAACGTGTTCACACAACGACCAATTATATGGTGACACGTTGCCTGACCAAAAGCAGAAAAGAGAACAAAATAAGCGCAAACACGCTTTTACAAGACTCAATAGCTAAAACCATAAAAAGAAATAGCAGCACGCTTCTAATAATCTCAACACCCCCCTTCAAGTGGGAATGTGGGAATTGAGACACATGCCCAACTTGCAGAGAAACCGAGATGAATCGGACCGGCCAAGAGATTTAGTAAACAGGTCTGCCGGCTGAAAAGAAGAAGGCACGTGCTGCTGCAAAATGAAACCGTCCTTGTATAGGTTGCGAACCACGTGACAATCAATATCAAGATGTTTGGTACGCTCGTGGAAAACCGGGTTAGCAGTGATGTGCAAAGCCGCACGATTGTCACACCAAAGAGGAATGGGAAGATGAAGTCGAACCGACAAATCATGAGCCAAAAAAGACAGCCATTGGAGCTCACAGACGGTAGTCGCCATAGCTCGATATTCGGCCTCGGCGGATGAGCGGGACACCGTTTTCTGCTTTTTTGTTTTCCACGAAATCAATGCCTGTCCAAGAAAAATGCAGTAACCCGTAAGCGAGCGTCTGGTCAACATACAACATCCCCAATCCGCGTCACAAAAGGCTTCCAACAGTGAAGATGGAGAAGCTGCATAGAAAAGGCTAAGGGAAGAACAGCCTTTGAGATATTTCACTAAGTGTAAAGCAGCAGTCCAATGGCTTTGTGTGGGTGCATGAACAAATTGGCTAAGCTGTTGGATGGCATAACAAATATCAGCTCGTGATAAATTCAAATAAAGTAGTCTGCCCACCAACCGTCGATAGGATTCAGGATCATTAAAAACAGGAGAAGAAAGACCCGAGAGATTGAGCCCCTGAGGTAGAGGTGTAACTGTGCTTTTGGAGTCCTGAAGTCCCAAATCATGAATAATGTCCAAGATATATTTCCTCTGACTTAAGTAGGTACCACCAGCTGTTCTGAGAATTTCCAAACCTAAGAAATATTTGGCCTGTCCCAAGTCCTTTATAGTGAAAATGTTATGGAGGTAAGTTTTAAGCTTCTCAACCTCTGCCAAGGAATCACCAGTGATCAAAACATCATCGACATAGATAAGGAGGGCTAAAAACCGGTTCTCTGATTTCTTGATAAAAAGGCAGTGAATGTGTGGAGATTGAACAAAGCCATAAGCAAGGAGTTTTTCAGAAAACTCAATATTCCATTGTCGAGACGCCTGCTTCAAACCATAAAGGCTCCTTTTCAACAAACAAACCTCTCCTTGCTTAGCCTTATCATATCCCTTAGGTGGTAACATGTAAACTTCCTCGTCCAAAAATCCATGAAGGAAAGCATTATTAATATCTATATGATGCAACTCCCAGTGCTGCTGAGTGGCCAAGGCTATTATCAATCTTACTGAAACCAGTTTTGCTACTGGTGAGAAGCTATCTATAAAGTCAATACCTTCCTTTTGTAAATAACCTTTTGCCACCAAACGAGCTTTGAACTTGTCAATTGTCCCATCCGGATTCCTCTTGACCTTGTAGACCCATTTAGAACCTATGGCCTTTTTCCCTTGAGGCAATTGTGTGAGTGACCAGGTTTCATTCTTTTCAAGTGCCATCAGCTCTTTATGCATTGCCTCTATCCATCTCTTGTCCTTGATAGCCTGCTCATAAAACAAAGGCTCAGAAATACTTTTGTCCAATTCAGAAAAGAACAAAGATGCATCTTCAACTTCCTTTGGCAAACTCAAGGTGGTGGCTACATAATCCTTCATCCATACTGGTGCCCTTCTAGCTCGAGTCCCCTTTCTCACTTCATTAAATTCATCAAGAGATTCATTATCCGGCAAATGACTCGGAGGAGGATAATTTGAACTATGATCCACTGAAACCATATCAGGTGATGGCTCTTCTGTAATAACTGGAAGAGGAACATCAGGACATAAATTTTCTGCTCTCTTGAATCCTGTGGAAAAAGGGAACTGGTCTTCATAGAATACCACATCTCGAGATACAAAAACATTTTGCCCCTCAATATCATACAACCTATAGCCCTTTACTCCTGAAATGAAGCCAAGAAACACACAAGGTACAACTCTTTGATCAAACTTCTTTATCTGTGGCATATTCTTCTTTGCATAGCATAGGCACCCGAAAATTTTGAACAGATGGTATGGAGGACTTGTGCCATATAACAGTTCATAAGGACATTTCCATCCAAGCCTCTCACTCGGCAATGTATTAATAATCTGAACTGCTGCTAGTAATGTGTACGGCTATAGATTCTTCTGCAATTTAGGATGGAAAAATAAAGCTCTTGCTACCTGAAGAATAGATCTATGCTTCCTTTCCACCACCCCATTTTGCTGTGGGGTATATGGACAAGTCTTTTGATGCAACACACCATTCTCTCTGAGGAGAGTACTCATCTCAACATTAACAAATTCACCCCCATTGTCAGTTCGCATCCTTTTAACCTTGACTCCAAATTGAGTGTCCACCATTCTGAGGAAGGTTTTAATGTGGCCACATGTTTCTGATTTGTATTTCATCAAGTAAATCCATGTCGATCTTGTTAGATCATCCACAATAGTTAACATGTAAGATGTATTAGTCAAAGATTCTTCATGATGTGGCCCCCAAACATCAACATGTATCAAATCAAATTTATTTTTGCTTTGTATGTGACTGTGAGGAAATGCAAACCTAGGCTGTTTAGATCTGTGGCAAGCATCACACACACCAAACTCTTGGCTCAAACTCTTGTTCTTTAGGAAGTTCAAATGTTTTAGGCAGACAATGGAGCTGTGACCGAGTCTCATGTGCCATAACTTCAGTTCCTGGTCTTCAGTTCTCAAGTCACTTGCAACTGTATGAGCACAAAAATCTTCCCCTCCTATCACATATAACCCTCCAATTCCTTTTCCTTTGGCCACCACCTCATTTCTATTCAAATCTCTTAGCTCACATCCTTCATTGGTAAAGGTAAAACTCAATCCATTTTGTTCTACCAGCTGTCCCACTGACAATAGATTGTACCTGAATTCAGGTATGAAGAGCACATCCTCAAGACATATCTGTGCATTCAGTTTGATGGACCCAACCTTTGTAACCTGTATACTGGCCCCATTAGGAAGATTAACCAACATAGGTTTTTGCATTTCTGAAATATCGCATGCCATGCTAGCATCATAACATATATGTCTACTGGCTCCCGTATCTACTATCCATCTCCCTCTTCCAAGTTTACTGGCCAGAGAAAATACATAGTTTTCCTGCTCATCAGTATGTTCAACAAAATGTGAAAACCCATGTGTCTCTGCCTCCTGTTGTGCTGCAAGATATTTAGCAACTTCCTTCTGAATAAGAGCACTTATATCTGGCAGTGAGTCACTATGCTGTGACTTAATTTCTGAATCTCCCTTTGATGAATCCTCACTTTCAGCCATATTAACACCTTGAGCCTGCCTTTGTCCTTTTAGTTCTTTGTACCAATCGGGATACCCGTTCAGTTTGAAACAACCACCAATCTCATGTCCACTAAATCCACAATGAGTACAGAACAATTTAGCTCTTTCTTGCTTGGTAAGTCTCTTCCCTCCTCTTCCATTTCCTCCACTATTATAGCTCTGTCCAGAGAACCCTCTTCCTCCACCACCACCAAAACCTCGACCTCGACCATTTCCTCTTCCATAATTATCTCTAGCCATCATAGCTGCATTCTCGAACTGATTGAAGATTCCAGTTCCAACATTCTTCTGTTTCTCAACTTTTAGTATCATCGAATATGCCCTATTGATGGTGGGAAGTGGATCTAGCAACAGAATTTGATTTTTGACTGGTTCAAATACCTCATTTAAGCCCATCAAGAATTGCATGAGCTTAATTTCCATATCATTGTCTGATATAGCCTTTCCTGAAGCACATACACACTCAGGCAGGGACACAAGACAAGAGTACTCATCCCATAAGCATTTTAATTTGGTATAATATGCAGTAACCGAAAGAGGTCCTTGATTGAAATTAGCAATTTCTTTCAATAGTTGATATTTGAGAGGGCCATTACTCTCACCATACCTCTCAGCTAGCTCATCCCATAGTTGTTTAGCAGTTTTTACATACATAAATGCTTCAACAATATCCTTAGAGATAGAATTGAGAAGCCACGAGATTACCATAGACTCTACCTTCCGGTACTGAGCGAATTCCTCCGTGTTCTCTTCTGGAACATCTACTGTCCCGTCGACAAATCCGAGCTTCGATTTCGCGCTCAAGGCTAGTCTCATCGCTCGATTCCAGTGTGGGTAATTAGCTCCTGTAAGTTGACTCGTAACGAGCACCAGTCCAGGATTGTCCGATCCATGTAAAGAAAGGGGATCTATATCTTTCGCATAACTACTCCGTACAATCTCTCTGTCCATACTTCTTTTGTGTGTTCTCGCCTCTCAACCTGCTCTAGATACCATGTAGAATCAGTAAAAATAGACAAATCGCATTCTAACCAACAAATTTCCAGAAGTAAATCACCATAAAAATGTTCAGAGCTTCAAGCTCGTACAGAAAATCTGAAGACGACAACACGAGAACCACACATATAACGTGTTCACACAACGACCAATTATATGGTGACACGTTGCCTGACCAAAAGCAGAAAAGAGAACAAAATAAGCGCAAACACGCTTTTACAAGACTCAATAGCTAAAACCATAAAAAGAAATAGCAGCACGCTTCTAATAATCTCAACAAAAATGAGTACTAGATGAATCCATAAATGGAATTGGATTCTAAATTGTTTCCCGTGTGGAAAATGCAAAAAATATAATTTATTGTTCATGTTTGTTGATTATTGGTAGGAAAAATTTAGAAGTAGCTATGGGTGTGTGAATAATAATATTAGTATTCACTTAATCAATCGATCATTTTTTCCCCTACTGAAGATCTTCAAGGTTCCTAAGATTGTCGCTTTGGTATCCTTGGGCTTTATTTTTGGAAGTTGAGGAAACTTTATGTAGAATGCTAGTATTGGATTGGATATGAATAGTTTTTTAATCATGTTTTTTCGAGATGATTCTGTTGGGCTCAATTAGGAACATCATCGATATGCACATCCAAATCTAACGAATTAAATCCCAACGCAGCGGAATCTGTAGTTAGCATTAGGACATTACCATTTAAAATTTTGCCGATTTTGAGACGTTGTAGATTTCCTCTATAGGAGATCGTTTGAACCGCAGAGTCCGTTGAGCAGCCGAACTCGACCTATTGGGTTGATCACGGGTCACCGGAAAGTGGTCGGGTCGCGATCGGGTCACTGGGAGTCGTCGCGCGTCGGGCGATGGCCTGGTCGCTGGCTTGTGCGCGTCTCGAGCTGGTGTGGGCATCGGCAGGGTCGTGGGCGGCGTCTGGTGCGCAGGAGCTCGCGGGCTGCTGTGCGCGTCGGTCGCTGGTTGCTCGTGTGCGAAGACTGCGAACTGGCGCCGCTCGTGCTGCTAGCATCCGAGGTCTTTGGGCGTGTGCGCCAAGACAACTGGGAGATGGCAGGTTGCGGCGCGCGAGGAACTCGGGCCTGGGCGTCTCGTGATAAGGTAGAGGCACCATTAGGAGGTCGCGACACTGGCTGCACGAACCAGAAGCAAGCGTCGCTGGGAGGTTTCTAGGCGACGTGCGGCTTGGCGCGGATGAGAGCATGTCACCGACGTTGCGTGCGGCAGCGATGGGCTCGAACACGGCGTTGGTATTCCGGCGGCTTCTTGGTTCGCCGTAATAAATACAATGATAATAAATTCGTAGGGATGCTCGAAATATATTTTGGCTTAAAATCTTCTAATGTATGACCTTATACCCTTATTTCGAATAATCTTGGTGATGTGATTAAAAGAAACTCCTGGACTCTCAATATACAAAGTGTTCGAATTTTTCCCCTCTTTTCAAGACAAAATTCGGCCAACGTATATGCACAAGAAAGGTAGGGACAAGATGTATTTATAGGTTACATCAGGGACCTTAAGGAAGTGCTAAATATAAGCATTTCCAATTACGGTTAGGAATCTATATATTCTCCAACTCATTTCCCTTATACAAGACCTAATTCCTTCCTACCTAATTGCCACTTCTAGAAGACTCCTCTCCTAGCCTTTGATAATATTATAGACAGAGATATTCTGCTAATTAGGAAATATAGATAGACAATAAATTAATTCGTATCTCTTAATTGAATTAAATAATAAAACCTTCCGTTAGATTAATATTATTGTTCTCCCCATTTAGCTCTAATTTATTTAATAAATTTGAACCTCCTACTTCACTAATAATATTAATTTAATTAATCGATTTACCATCCACATATTTAAGATATAACGTCCATTGATTAATATTTGTAGTATTTTTGGGTAAGTGGTAACCGAGCTACCCGACCTCGGGTCGTTCTCAAAGGAAGGCTATTCGGAGCATCGTTCACTACCTAGTCGTCAAAGTCACATAACCGAAAACAAGGTCCTAAACATTCTACTCGCTTGAAGGGATTGGATTTGCATTAAATTAAACTAAGAATCTAGAGCAAATGATGAAAGATGCAAATATAGAGAGAAATATCGAAACTTTGGTCTACCGGAATCTCCACGACTCAAGAAAAATAAAATAAACAAAGAGAAAACATGCGAACATAGTGATCCTAGGTAATCTAACACGAGCTTTCTACACTAGATCATCACGCTTTAAGCAAAGTCGAGATCTCTATACAAGATAAGCACATATAGATTCCTAACACACGTAAGCAACCAATAAAAATAAAGCAAAAACCTAGAAACGAGCATACACACAATTCGACAATACAAACTCGAAGTAGAACGGCCTAAGCAAGGTACCTACTCTCCTATTGCATGTTTGAACGAAAATAGTCGATAAAGCTCGAAACTTGGATGAAAATAAACTTGCTGGAATTTCACCGAAAAAATAATCATGGACCTCCAAACCAAAGCATTAAAAGAAAAGAGAGAAAATGGAGAGGATTTCCCAACTTAAAATTTGTGAAATGAGGGGTGATGTCCAAAATTACAAAGCATAATGTCTATTTATAGCTACACCACAAACATACACTAAAACACCCACATTTAATGATCAAAACTCGCAAGGTAGGTTGATTTCGCGAGCAAAAGTGGGATTTTCGCGAGCAAGGAGGAGCTCGCGAGTGTTTTCTTGTGTCTTGGTGCTGGGGGAATAGAACTCGCAGGCAAAGCTTGTTTCGCGGGCTAGGGTCGCATTTTTGCAGGCGAAATTCGCTAGTTAGGCCACACTCACGGGGTAGAGCTTTTTCGCGGGCGTGGAATGGATGTTAGATATGCTGTAAAAGCTTGGCTTTTAGATATGGATAATACCATTTTGATCTGACAATCATGTTTTAGTCAAAGTACATATGCTTGCAATTTATTTATTTATGTAATCATACTCTTTGTCTTACATTGAGATAGTGTGGTTCGTGGTGTCTCGCAGAAAGGTCACCTATCGGTTCCTTGTAAGACTAAACTATTCGTTCACAGTCTAGACAGGCAGTGAGACCCCTCTTGGAAAAAGACTGTAGTGTATTCTTGATTCAGTTGATCTTTAACTAAAGAATGACACTAGTACTTATATTAAGTATTGAACAGGACCGCAGAGGGATAAAATTATGAGAATCACTGACCGTTGTTGTAATCTAGACCTTCAGTTATTGATGCGTTCTCTAACGCTGTAAGATAATATAAAACGGGCATGTATATTTATTACTTGTTTATTTGATTTAGCAAGGGTGATTCCTATTCTGTTAGGATGACATACTCGGTACTTTGGTAAATGAGGATATTTATATAGTGTGCTGTTATAAATTATTTACGGTCACTATGTCCCAGTGCGTTGGGTTGATGACGTCCCCACAATGAGCTCAAGAAGGAATATTATGTTAAACCCTGCAGGTGGATGATTATCCGACATAATGATTAACGATCTGAGTGGTACTAATTTTGGAAATGAATAAGAAGTTGATTAATTATTTTGTCAGTAACTTATTAATCGACGGACGTTATATCTTAAGCATAGGGAGGTAAATCAATCAATTCGAATTTATGAATCAAGTGGAGGTTTGATTTAATTAATAAAAATTGGAACTAAATAGGGAGAACAATAATATTACTCTAGTGGGATGTATTATTATTTAATTCTAATTAGGATTTTAGGAATTAATTTTATGCCATAAATAATATTCCATTAGGAAAAGAATATTCCCTTCTAGAATATAACTTAAGGTTAGGAGACTAAAGAGTCTTCTAGAAGGTAATGTTTGGTAGAAGGAGTTTTATCCTAGTTTGGAAAGATATGTGAAGTAGAATTAGGATTCTTTTGCCTAATGGGATAAACTCATATTTAGCACCTCCTTAAGGTCCCTAATGGAATCTATAAATACACCATGTCCCAACCTCTTGGTACATACTTGTGAGGGCCGATTTTTCCTTCTTCCTAAGGGAGAAAGATTGTCTTGTTCGAGTGTTTGTGAAAATCAATTAATCGCATCACCAAGATTAATTGAAGTAGGTGTTTAGGTAATCCAATAGAAGATTTTAAGGTGATATTTATCAAACCTTAAAGATCAAACTTTCCGGCCACCACCTTCCGCCGTCCGCCGCTGCCAGTCGCTGAAAATCGCCGCCGCCGCTTGACATCGCCGGAACCCTACCTGAGTCCAGCCGCGAGCACAGGCCCATAACGGCATGCAGCCGAGTCGCACGCGAAGGTCCCAGCAACGCCCAGCTCCTCCGCGCATCATGTGAATGCCGATCCCGTTTGCCCCTGCTCGTGATCTGCGCGACCTGACGACCCAATCCAAGCGCCCGTGTTCCACGCGCACGCTATCCCGCGCTCGACCAGGAGTCCTCGCGCGCATAGGAGATGTCCCGAGCACGCCCGGGTGAAGCCCAGATGTCGCACGCCCAGTCCGTCCATGCCTAGGATAGCTGTCCCACACGCGCCCGAGCAGCCCGCGCCAGCCAACGTCCGCACCGCCTGTCTGCGCGTCCCGACCACACGACGCGCACCCGGTCTTGATCAGTGCCAACCCGCGACCAGCATCCGCGGCCGAGCCGCTGCACCCGATGACCCTAGACGAGATCCGAGTTTTGCCCAACCGGCCCGAGTCCGACAAGTTCGATCTGGTGATCCGTTCGAGATTCAACACTCGATTAGAATCGAGAAAGGCCAAACACATCAGCCTATTAGGTTCTGGTAATCAGACGATCTCCATCAACGGAAATCAGAAACGTCTATGAGTCAGTAATATTGTGCATGTCGTTGACATTCCTAATAGAACCCAACAATGGAAAACTCGCGGGCTGCAGGGCGCTCGCGAGTTTGAGGTGCTCGCGGAATTTGATTTTCGCGGGCACGAATCAGGCTTTTGCTTGACTTTTGAGGCTCGATTAGCTCTAACTCAACGCACGCTTCTCCGATTGACTTGAAATTTCGACCCACGCTCCTCAAATATTTTTCTCCTCGTCTTGGAATGCTCAAATCGATATCACCGCGAAATTAATATATATGGCCGGACATGGTTCGCGTGGCTCGGACATGGTTCAGACGGCTCGAAAATGTTTCAGAAATGGCTCCTCTTCCCAAACTCGAATATTGTGGACCTAAACAACACCAAAAAGACAAAAAAAGTATGCCGAACAACAAAATCACAATACGAGAACAAAAATACACGAAACACGATAAAATGGACCGGTCGACACTAAAACGGACCTAAAAACACTCAACTAAAACACATAAAACACACGAAAATAAGCACAAAAACACAATAAACAACTCTCCCACACTTAACTCTTTGCTTGTCCTCAAGTAAACAAAACAACAAGTAGCTCGAAAAGACAAATCGAAAAGTCAAAAATTAACGAGCATGCGAAATGAAACTCTCATCTTCATCCGGTTATCCATAAAACCAAACTCCAATCCAAAAACACGTTCCCCGCATAGTGAATCCATATAAAACAAAAACTCGTCCCAAGTTATCCTACACATGATTTACTCGATTTAAATTTCCTTTACTACATACACGTGCAAAAAGCTCAATGCGGTCAAATAAACATGTAAAATTCGATAAGCACGAACCAATAAGCCAACTCCCATTCTTTTATTTGTTTGATTTTGTTTTTCTTTTTTTCTTTTTTTTTATGTGAGCTTCTTTTTCCAAACGAGGTTTCCGAAACAATGCTTATCTAGGTTTAACCTCGAGGGATCTCCTCGAGTTCCCTAGGCCGGTTTAACCTCAAAAGGTATTGCCAGAAACTAAAAGCCAAGCTTTTACTGTATATTCTAACAATCTCCCACTTATACTCTATAAAGCTTTCGGCTATTACTATATCTATTTCTCTTTCAATCTAATTCTCAAAATCCAGTCTATCAAGTCGCCCTACGTCTAACTCCCATTTATTCTACGTGTCGGTCAAAGACCTTAGCCGGTAGGCTCTTTGTAAAAGGGTCTGCTAGGTTTTCCTCTGACTGTATCTTGGCAATAACGACTTCTCCTCGACCAACGTTATCTCGTATTAGCTGGTACTTGCGCTCTATGTGTTTACTTGCTTTATGAGTTCATGGTTCCTTCGAGGTTGCTACTGCCCCGCTGTTATAACAAAAAATTGTAATTGCAGTAGACAAATTCCGTACCA